TCTCTTTAACGTTAGGCCCGGAGATTAGCGTAATAGAATAGCGCGTAAACTTTATCGGAAGTCTCCTTAAGTTAGTAGGTATATAGCTAGTAATCCTAATTTATAATTCCGGCGAAAACGTTAGATTCCTAATAATACCCCCGAGGTATTATTCGATCGGCGCTCTAATTAGTTAGTTCGGATTCGGGCTCGGGTAGATCCGCTTCCGGCGGCGATGCCTACGATAGCATTATTACCGAGATTCGTATACTAGGTAGTCGTTATACTATTATGCTCGCTGTCGCTTCGAGCATTCGTCTCCTTAGTATAGAGCCTAGAAACTAGCCTTGTCGTACGGAGCGGCGTACCTCTAGATATAACCTATTTAAGCTATATTAACTTATAGCGTAGATTGCCGGTCTTATAACCGCGCTATAGCGTTTCCCGAAGAGCGTTTAGAAGTAGCAAGGATATCCTCGTAGGATTTGTAGCTAGTGTTTCCGATATAACTAGTAAACACGACTCGGTTGCCCTTCTAGTTAGCGATAGTTCCTTCCTAGGAGCTATCGTCGTAGTTGCGCTAGACACCCCGGGTTATACGAGACTATAGACGACCTAGAATAATTAGCGTGTTCGGGTTAGCGGCAATCTAGAAGGTAAAGGAAAAGCATATACCGAAAGCGTCTACTATAACATTGTAGCAGGCACCTACTAGCGTAACCTCCCTATTTACTCCCTATATACTAAGGGAAATATCTCTATTTATTAGCAGTCGGAGCTGTTTAGCCTAGCGCTTACTTATAATAAGTGACTCTAAACTATTATTAAGTATTACTAGCAACTGCTAACTATAGCTTCCGATAGTAACTTAAATATAGATAGCGGGAACGACGGTAAAGGAACGGGTAACTGCGGAAAGGTCTATATTATTAGGGATAGAGTAAAGTTCCTTAGGTCGAGGAGGTCCTACTCGACTAATTTATTAGCTAGTAAATCGGACAGCCTTAATAGAAACTAAAACCGAAGCAGGGTCGGTATTATTATTATCCCCTCGGCCTATCTCCTTAATCCCCTCTTCGTTAGCATTATCGATAGTCTCCTAGCTCTCGTAGGTTACTAATTCGCCTTCTACTAACTCCTAGGCCCCTAAAAATTCAGAAAGGAACTATAGGGAAGAGACGTCGATATAGTCCTCTTACCCCTATTTACGTCGGAGGGCTACAAGGTCTTTTATAAAGGTAGCATCGTTAGGAATCCGGCTCTAGAACAGGTTAGTAGGCAAGCCGTATACTAGAAGCTCTCCTATAGACACGTTAGACTTAAGGTCTAGAAACTATAAAGCCTAGAAGAGAGCATTTGCCTTTATATCGTAGGAGTTAGTAGGCCCGGCACTATACTTCTTTATATACCTATTAAAGCGAAAGCTCTTTAGGTCGGCTAACTTTCGTTTATAGGCCGGCGGGTTAGCTAGGCCTAGGGTACTACTAAGGTCGGTAGTATTATCCTCTATATCGATATCCGGAGTCTCTAGGACCTCCGGAGAGGCTATACTAGCTCGGGTTGTACGGTCTTCGGCTGTCTAGAGTGTCTTAGTCTTAGCGACTAATTCTCGCTGTTTCTTAGCCTTATTAGCTGCCTGCTTCTTAAGTATCCTAGTAGGGGCTACCGTACTAGGGCGGGTAGGGTTCTACGGGCTCTTACCCTTGCCCTAGGACTAGGTTTAGGACGACTAAGTTTAGGACCTTATAGTAGCGTAGACATCTACGCTGTTCTTAGTAACCGCGTAAATATTAGTAACTGCGTCCGGGTCCTAAGAAACAAAGTTGACTTTAATAGGCTTAGTAGTACCGTTACTACTCCGCTCCTTAACCTGTTTTGCCCTAACCTTCTAAGTTTCTCGTTTAGTAATAGCGGCGAGGATACTGTTCCTAGTGTCCTTAAACTCGATCTTGCTACTATACTTCTTCTCTAGAAGACTCCTAAGTTAAGGTAGCTTCGGGGCTCTACGATCCTACTCGAAGTTAATCTTGTCGCCGGTATCGGTATAGTAGAACCGACTATTTACTTATATAACGAGCTTCCTCTTAAGAAGCTCCTTCTAGATAGGGTAGTCTAATTAAACATATTTAAAACCGCCGTATATCTAGTACTTGCTATCTAAGTTAGAATAGATCTTCCGTATAGCGTAGACGTTAACTAAAGGGGCCTTAGGGTAGTTAGGATTAGAGACCTAGTAGACTAGTAGTATATCCTTTAGTATACTAGTATTAAGGACCTCCCTAACTCGCTATAGTGCTTTCGCATTAAGGTTGAGCTAGGCTAGGGATTTAGCCAAGTCCGCAACGTCCTAAGAATGCTTAGTAATAGTAGGAGTTACGGTACTAGAACTACTTTGCGATTTAGGAAGAAACTTAGGCCCTCTAGTTCCCGAGGTATCGTTCCTTACCTAGGCTAGGTTATTCCGGTCCTCGCTATAAATAAACTTCTTTATATCGGCGGAGCTGTTAATGTCGTCCTTAATAGTCTCTAGGACCTCTTTATACTTCCTAAAGGTCTCGGGATTAGCTTCGCTAAGCTTATAGCGACGGAAGACACGCTTAGCCGTAGACTACGGCAGCCCTTTAAGGAGTAGCCTCGTTCTCTAAGAATTCTCGAGGTCCTACTAGTCGATACCGTCCGCTAACTTAACAAACTCGCGGACGTACTCCTTTAGGTCGTTATCTTCGGTACGCCTCTCTATATAGAGGTTCTTAAGCTACGTACGACTACCTTTAATGCGACGGCTGTCGCGATCCCGATACTCCCTTATAAAGGCCTGCTTAAAGACCTCCTAGTCGGCATTAGACTTGTCGTCCTTTTCTAGGTAGCTAACTAGGGTTCTAAAGGTTCGGTAAAGCTTAGTAATAGTAGTCCTCGTAAGGGACCGGACCTTGTACTAGTCCGACTCCTCTTCGAGTCCGTACTTAGCTAAGTTGTCCTTAAAGCGTTCTACGTGCGCCGTAGCGTTCTACCCTTTAAACAAAGGGTTTCTACTGCTTCCTAGCTCTAGCGGGCGACGCCTATTCTAACGGAGAAGGTTAGTTTGCCCTTGAATTATCTTTATAACGATATTATAGAGAGCCTCGGGCGTAGAAGGCTCGATAGCCCCTAGGTCGACGGCGCTTATAACAACTAGTCGTCGCCTAATTTCTTCGTTAATAGGGTCCGGTAGGTTATTAGATTCCGAAGATTCCGCTAACTCGTAATACTCGCTTTCGCTAGAGCTTATTCGATTGTTATAAAGTAGTTAAAATAAAATGTTATAGGAAAGTGTTTTTAGTATATATTATAGGTTTGTTTCGATATTGCTATACGAGAAAATAGTGTACTAGGCTATTTTATTGCTATACGAGAAAATAGTGTACTAGGCTATTTTCTTCTAATATTACCCCCGGGGTAGCATTAGAGCTTAGCCTCCTAGGGGTCGCCTAGACACCCCTAGGAGCTTTAATTTAGTAATTTTAGACAAAAGCCGCTCGGAGGAAGGAACTACAATCTCTATTCATACCTAGATCCTAGAAACTAGCTACTTTACTAACTATCGTTATCTCCTTTAGCTAGGCGGGAGAGCGGGGACCTTCTTTTTCTAGTAGAAGGCTAAGTACTATCCGAACGAAGCAGCGAATCCCGAAACAATCTACCTAGTTAATAGGGGAACTGTCTAGGCATCCGACCTATAATCTAGAAATTGCTATCGTATAGATAGTCTTAGCAAACTAAGCAAGGCCGATAGGTAATTAGTCTATCTCCTCCTTAGGTAGGGCTTATCTCGAGCAAGCGGTACTAAATAGGTCTTCGACCCGGAGCCGAGTCCTTAGAAGCTAGCTATAGTTATAAACTAGGCCCTAAGCTGTAATAGTCCTAAGGGTTTGTAGCTTTTCGGGGTTAAAGCGATGCCCTCGTTAAGAGGTTTCTCTACTTGTCGTAACGGCCCCTTAAGATACTTCGGTATCGTCCGTATCGTAGGCTCTTATCGTGCCCTCGCTTTAGTTATAGCTATTCGTACCTAGAGACCACCTTTAATATACCCGAACCTGTTAGATATAAAGAGATAGCCCTACCTTCGGCTCTAATAAAGGACGAAAACTAACACTACTACTACTACTAGTAGTAATAGTATAGGCAACCGAGGGTAATATAACCTATAGCAATATAGGCAGCTATGTTTAGTAAGATAGGATAACGAGACTGCCGCTTAGGCTAATAACTAGAGCCCTACAATATAGGCATTATAGAAGTGTAATATAAACAATATACTATACGAGGTTAGTACTCTATCTACTCTATAGAAGGAGGCCTCTTATATAGGCTTAAAACTAGCCTATAGGTGTAGGGCCGGTTACTAGCTAATACTGCTTATATAGCGGCTTTAGCACTCGTTTGCGGCCTAGTTTGTTTAAGTCCTTTATGTACGGTACGCTAAATAGCTCGTATATATTACGGATCTTGTCTATATACCGCCTAGATAGGTTTAACTATAGAGCGAGCTTATTGTTCGATAAAGAGGTAGTATTAAAGAGCTAGAGAAGTTCCTAGGTCTGCTAAATAGGTAGCCTTGCTATAGTAACTAGGCTAAATAAGCAAACAACTCCTAGGACTCGCTATACCGCTAGAAAACGCGACAATATATAATTAAAGAGGTAGAAGAACTTATTCGATGCTAGAGAGGCTATATATACTCTTCTATACCTAATTTCCTTACTAATTTAGGCGGCAAACCTAGGTTATACGAAGCACTATATACGAGGTGCGTACGGCGGCAGTTCTACGGGTTAGTACGACATTTCGCACTTTATAATAACAATCTAGGTAACCTAATTACAGACGAGCAAGTGTCGCGCCGATAGCGCTTTTAGAGTGCGACTCTCCTTAGCGCTAATGCGATAAGGCATCGCGAAAGCCGAGGATAGTAAATATACGGACAGCTACGGATCGTTAAGATTATCGCTTCTCCGCCTATGTAGGTCAACTTAAGGGTTTTAATGCAGCGACCCGCAGTCGTCTAAGAGCCTCTTCTTTGCGAGGGCAAACCACGTGCAAGAAGGGCTTTGGACATTTCGATACTAGAGGCTCCAAGAGATGGAGATGTGCTCTGGCAACGGCTAAAGCGGGAATGGCACATATAGGAAGCCTTCGAAATCTCCGACTACAGCTCCTGGGACCTCACTCGGACTTCACAGCATCTATTCTATCGCCACTCTCAAACGCAGGCAAAATGTTCACCAAGCTTCTCACATTGGCATTCGCTGCCACATCTCTCGCGACTGCCCTTCCCCAAAGCGGTGATCCCGTCGACTATGGTCCCATCTCCGGACCATATTTGCCCAATGGCACCGGTCCAGGTCAATGCACCAGCGACTATCGTCTCCGAGGAGCAAAGCAAATCATCTTCGCCTACAATCTCGTAGAACCGGGAGAGTCTGCAGAGGCATTCCAGAGATTGCCATTGAAAGACGATTGCCATACCTACATGTAAGTCCACATATCCCAACGACAGACACTTTTCGATCCTGAGCTAGAATAACATACCTACCTAGCAACCCCAACGGCGGTCCCGCAATCCCCGTCGCCATAGACCGAACAACAACCTACGACTTCGCTCTGGGCACCCGCCAGCTCTTCTCACGAGTCACCGGTCTGTACACAGACTACAACAACGGCACAACCATCATTCACACCAACGTTACTCTCGGTGTGCTGCACAGTGTCGCGATCCCAGTCACGTTCTATGCCGACGTCTACTTGTTCTATGACCTTGCGGACTGCTTGATGCAGAAAATCCAAGCTTTTGCAACGATTCCCACTCAAGTTGGAGGTGTGGAGATTTCGCCCCCGATTCTTCCGCAGATGTTGGCGGCTTCGGATTTGTATAGGGGGGTTTCGATGGATCAGCTTCCGCAGGCGTGAGAGGGGAATTTTGAGGAGTTGGTGGGTGAGGAGTTGGGGGGGGGGGGGGGGGGGGGTTCCTACGAAGAAGTGATGTTTTGTGATCTAAGTAGGATTCAATGGGATTCTTGTGCAACTGATCTTGGATTTATGTTACATCGAATGCAGGATATGCACAACTACCAGCCGGCCGCTCCGGAGGATCTTGCCCGTCCCAATATGCGCTGTGGAGCTCCCAGAGAACTTCGAAAATGATGATCTCAAAGATATGGTCGCGAAGCTCACGAGCAGTACTAAGCATCATCGGCGCTCTAGCTCTGGCGTAAGCAGCTCTGATTTCGAGCAACTGGAAACGACACGGCTATGAACTACATGCAGGTGTAAGTGTTCTCTTTCCCGAAGACCTACAACTCTTTTGTATGGATACTGGTAACAGCACTAACGGACTACTCGGGTTCATTCCGGATAGATCTCTCGTGTCTTGCTTCGACGAGGCTGCGTTTCTGGCATAGACATTTCAAGAACGAACGTTCGTGCTCGAAGGTCTTTCCCCGGATGTCCTCCCGCACAGCCTTGGCCACAGCATGCTACCTCGATGAGGCTTTGTCTCACCCTAAGACATTCGGCTGTCGAGTAACAGCCTCATACCGTCTCTGTGTTTCTGCGGCTTTGTCTCGTTTCATGCGTCTTTACTCACTCGTGAACAATAGCCTTGTTTACGAAACAGCGAAGCTTTCACTTGGCCCTCACCACCTAACACTCGAGGTGAACAGAAATGCCTTCCACGTCCAGGAAGTCTATAAGAAGCTCGATTCCCCTGCCCAAGGCAAGATCATCTCCATACATAGCTAAAAGCAACTCGGGAAGATAGACCAATACCACAGATCTCAGAACATCCCGAGTAACCCGATAAACACCGAGAAGAATTCAGAAATCCAACCAAAAGCAGCAAATCTTGGACATCATGTCTGGTCAAGGTTTCGACAACACTTCCAACTACAACTTCGACCAGGTCGACCCAGACTTGCTCGAGGCCGCGAACGCATTGGACGAGCATGGTATTCCATGGAACCTAGACTACTGTCTCTTTTGCAACGAGCCACGCCTTGGACCACATGCCGCCGACTGCCCTCTGCAACAACAACACCCAGCACAGATCCCAAACCATGCATATATTGGCGTGCAATCGTACGGAGACACTCAAGGCATGATTGCCACACCTACCCCAGTCCGAACGGGTGATATGCCCGCTGAGGAGGTTCGGGATGCTTACGCTCCTCCCACTCAAAGCGAAGAAAACTTGATGCAACCGTTAGGACCAGTCAGGTTGAACCCCTACAGCTTTGGTCAGCAGCCGCCGAGTCTGGCAGCTCCCATGTTTACATCACCACTGCAGTATGCTTCAACACCGCAACCACTACCCACCACACCTGTTCCTCCCGATCAAATCGCATACACCGGCTACTTCAAGTCCTTTGCCGAAGCCCAATCCGCCCTCCAACCCCAGCAAACCGACCCAATCCTGTCCCTCAACATCCCAAACGACGACTGGCAACAAATCAAGACCCCCAACATCTTCCACACCTACGCCTCCCGTCTCCTCTCCGCAATCCAACAAATCCCAACCTCAGCCCCAAAACTCCTCACCTCTGACTTCGCACGCCAATACTACTTCGACCACCAATCCAACACCTTAACCAGCATCCTCAACGCCCTAAAATCCAACCCCATTGTCGCCGAAGCTAGGATCCTCGTGTGTCTTCAAGAAGTACTCGACATTCATGAATTCGGTCTTCCCGCTTCCGTCCTCAATCGCACGAGTTATAAACAAGGGTATAAAATCGAAGGGGGCATGCTTTGCTCCGAACGTTTGGAGAGAGTCATTTACGGAGCCTTGAACGACAAATACATCGCCCACGATATTCTCTCGGGACTCAATGTCAAAGACTACGTGAGAAGTCCGAACCGGTTTTTACAGAGGAAGCAGGAGAATTGTAGGGTTAATTCTAAGAAGGCGCTGGATAAGAAGACTTTGGATCTCAGTATGGGGAGGCAGGATGAGAGGAAGGGGAAGGGGAAGGTTGAGATTAGGAAGAAGAATAGTGTTGCGACTAAGGGGAGAGGGGAGAGGAGGACTGAGTTGTTGGGGGAGCAGATTCCACTTCCGGATTTTGCGACGGTGTTTACGCCGAATGAGGATGTTGCGACGCCGGATACGATGGTTGCTGCTACCCCGAACTCCAATGCTGATATCGACTTTGCTGGACAGGGCGATGTGAAGATGGAAGAAGGGTAGGGGGTCTTGAGCTGGTCCTAGGCAAGAAATTGGGGGGTTTGAAATTCGCTGTACGGCGTTGAAGGCTGAGCATTGAAAGGCATAAGATGGACAAGGATTGCATTGGGACGGGACGGGAGATCTAGGTAGGTAGGACGAGTTGTTTGGGAATTTGAGACTGAATTTGAGACACGAGTAGAACATACATGTCCCTGTCGGCAAACTACAACGAGCCCCGAAGGAAACGAATAATGACTGGAAATCTCACAGTCTCGAAGCTCACTTCAATGCCGAAGACCATCATGGTCAACGGAAATTAATCTCTTGAGTCGAGAGTCTAACGCTATGCACGATCAATCCAAGCCCTTAATCATACAATAACCAGAACGCAAAACAGTTCATAGTAGGCGAGTCATTACCGCCTCCAATATATGCAACGCTAATGCTCACTCGCGCTTCTAAAGCCAAAAAACCACCTCCGATACCAATTTTCCAGCTCACTGCTCCGGCTCGCTCTCGTAAACAATCGCCTCGAAATTCGGGTCCGTCACATCATTCAATCTGCCTCCTCGTCTTGGAGTCTGTCTGCTCTCATCGGCCTGAGCTCCTGGTTCCGGGTAGACATCGCCAATTCTCGATTGAGATGGTGTCTGTCCTGTGGTGCTTGGAGCAAGTGGTGTAGAGTTGATAGAGCTTTGGTGTGTCTGAGCTGCTCGACGTGGAGAAGTGCCAGAGGAGGACTGACGGATAGTGTCCGGCTTGCTCACACGGCCACTTCGCACGCGTTCGCTTCCGCTAGCAGAATGCATGCTTGATGTACTCAATCCAACGTCGTTGGCGTTGGAGACTTGCCTCAATGGAGTCGGATTGATTGGCGCTGATAGCAGTGATGGGCGACTTGCTGTCGTGTGGGATGGAATCAGAGGCATCGCCTCTGTTGCTGCTGAGTGTGCATTCTGCCTGTTGGTACGGTGGATCGTACCACGGCCTTCTCTCATTGGATCTGCAATCGAGCCAACACCATAAGCTTCGGGATCCTCAGTCACCAGACTTCTAAGTGAGTTTGGTAGTCGATTCGCCGTGAAGCCAAAGTGCAGATTGATATCTGAATCGGCATTGTCATCCTCAAGATCCCCAAACATCTCACCGCCAGCTGAGTCGTTTTCCAACTCGGCAAGGAGCCACTCGATGGTTGGTCGTCGCAACGCCGGGGCATCGCGAAGGTATGAGGAGACACCTTCGAGATGAGGCTGGGCTCCAGCATCTCGTGCCAACTCTACACGCCGCAGGATAGTGTCAATTGGGTCGGCGGCCGGGTGGAGGCGAACGTGATCTTGCTGAATGACTCGCTCGTGCGAGTAGAGGGCGTCTTCGGAAATCCATCTGGCGTTTCCGTCTGCATCGTCGAAAAGGCGTACCGCTTGATCCACAGGGAATCTTAGCAGGTGGGCGTGCTCCTGCGGCGGCCGTGACAGGTGTGCATCCGCGGGCGGAGTCGTGCGCAGCTCGGTCAGGAAGATCCTGCCGTAGAAAAGCGTGTAGTCTTCCTCGGGCGTGTATCTTGTCGCGTATGGATCGCCGACTTGAGCGACTCCCTGAGCAGGAGTGACCTCTGCATTCTGTTCCTGGCTCGAGTTCTCCTCAGCGGTCCTGTGTGCTTCTGGTCGGCGCGTCATCCTGATTGCGTTGTTGCAGGGCGAAGAGTATGGCTGCAGTTTGGACGGGCTGGCGACTGTGTATAAGAACAAGATATGTCGAAAGCGCGCTTTGAAGAAGTCGAGGGTGCGGAAGCTCGAAAATCCACAGGCAACCGCTTAAGTCATCATTCACTTTCACTCGGAAAGTCTTGGCAATGCCAAGAACTGCTTGTGACAGCCGCCCAAGCATGCATTTTCGGCCAGACGACATGCTAGGCCTTGGTCGAATGAATGCATCTGGTGTCTCAAGAGGTAATACAAGGCTATCGTCGAATATATACATTGAGTAAGCACGAAAGTACACGATCAACCAGCGGTATTGATGGAGAGGGTTCTGAGGAATTGAAGGAGATTTAAGAAATTGGCAAGGTTAGAGCTACCCCGACACATATCTAGGTCTTCCAAACTCTCAAAGAAGCTATGAGGCAAACTGGAGTTGTCGGTCACAAGAAGCAGAAATGTTTGCTGCCCTTCTTTGAGCAGTCTCAGAAGTACTGGGCAGCATATGCAGCTGTTCCAGACGACCCCTGGCATCGATATGGAAATGGACCAAGACGATACCTGCGGTCTTGCGATGGCAGAGCCAAGTCAGCCATTGCTGCACATACTGACCTCGGTCCGCCACAAAGGCATGTAATGAAAAGAGACGACAAAGAAGAGTCTCTTCGAAACAATGGCTCAGGTCAACTCCTCGTGCATCAGATGCAACGACAGCCACGTTCCTCTTGGCATCAGTAGCATAGCTCTGCTGATTAGTCTCTTCAAGCGAGCGATGCATATCCAAGGCAGGCAACCTCTCAGCTTCAGGACTGTTAGAAGTACGACAAGAACTATCCCGGGACAGAACTTACTCTATTCATGCAGTGCTTCATACTGCACGACTCTTGGAACAGTTCTTGGCTTGAACGCCATCACGACAACGAAGAGCTGACTTATTAATCGCTTAGCGTAAAGCTACATCCGGAGAACATTGCAGCATTTGTGTGTTTTGCTATTTTTCACACCACTATCGCAGCCATAGAACGCCGCGCTGGTTCTGAAGAAGACACCAGCACGGATTCTTCAGCAGCTAACCCCTATTACCGAGAAGTATTGCCACGGTGAAGTTTGATCGATATCAACGTAGCTGTCACATAGGACTATCTCCATTACATGAAACCTCATGCAAGTGTTTGATCATGATATGCATGGCTTGAAAGTTAGGAACCCCTGAGAATAGAATTGGTGAGGTTGTTCAACCAAGCACTTAACAGCCTTGTCGGCTCCCGTTCCTGCAACCCTTGGCTTTTAAAACGTCGAACGAAGGTACGCGCAAGTACCGAGCAGCATTCATGAGAGCGGAATTTCATTCTGAAGAGCCTTCTCCTGATATACCGTTGCTCACTCACGATAATCCCTCAGTGCTCAGTGACAGATGCTTTAAAAGCCGAATACGTCTGACGAATTGAATGCTGAGTACAAAGCTCTACTCAGAGACCTGCGATTTCTCAGGACCTTAGGTGGACTCCACTTCTCTCAAGGCGTCCACTACACTCCAAAAATCTCATATCATTGATATAGCATCGGTAGGTCCGACCAAGCCTTTGCTTGCTTGAAGGGGGCATAGCTGGAGAGCTTTGCTAGCACAGTCCCGGCAAAGATGGGCGAGCGAATCTCTCACAGCTCTCTTATCGCTTTGCAACTCTGCAAAGCACAGATGCCACAGCTATCATTGCCTGGATCACGCTACTCTGGGCTCTTGCGAAGCTCAACGAAGTGGATAACGTGTCTTGCCTGGCGTGAAGGATCCATCTTCTCACAGCCTGATTGCTGTGCGTCAGCTCTGACCTAGACATCTGTCAGTATTTCATATGCCTGGTAGGTCATTTGCGAGACAGTCATTACATCCGAAGAGCTTCAAAGATATTTCAAACCCCCGGAGAATTTGTGCTGATGATCTTGTATTGTCACTTCGAGTTTTCTCGCAACCATAGCCTGATCGTGTATAGCTATGAGTCTGACCGTGGAAACTTAGCAAAACTGATGGCCCATGAGTTTCAAACGATTTTGAATTCAAGATAGATACTACATAACCTCCACGTCGTATCGAATAGGGCTTGTTCCAGAATTCAATTGAACCATGGAAATCGTTAACCGCTATATCAATTGCTCAATTCAGTTGTACGATGCGAGCTAATGCTGGGAAACAACGATATTATTGAGACAATTCACAGTCTCACCAACCAGCTCTTCTATAACTACCTTGGTATATCAGGAATTGATCGAAACGGTGACCGCTTGGAGCCTATCCGATGCTGCGAGATCGGGACAGAGAGACTCCTCACCAACTTAAAACTTTAGAGAGGAGCAGACGCTTCGTGACTTGAATCTTGAGAGAACTATACAACGCTCAAAGTATATCACATTGGAATGCAGTGCTCTTAATTCATGTGAAGCGCCTTAGTCCAACTTCTGGATGATTCCGAGCCAAGCCCAGCTTCTCTGCTTACTCGTATCTGTCCTCATCGAAGAACTCTCCAGGAGCGTCCTCGTCCTCTTCCGCTGGAAATTCGTCATCGAACTCTCCGTCGTCGTCGTCGAAAACGTCACCCTCATCGTAGACACCGTCGCTGGCGGCTCTGTCACTCAAGGAGTTTCCGCCAATCGAGTTTTCGGCCGCAGTGCTTGTCGTGGTAGCTCCGGCCGCCATAGCAATAGCAAGACCTCCACGACTCCAGAAGTTCTCGAGGAAGTTATTCAGCTCCGTTGAGGTCCTTGGAACTGGCCCATTTGGGGCAATTGGTGCAATCCGGTCCAGAGCTTCCTGAGGCTCTCTCGCAATCTGGTCGGCCGTGCCATTCTCCAGCCGCTTTCGATGCTTTTCCACGAACTCATCGTAGCGATCCTTGCCTCGAGCAGAAGATCTTGGACCGCGCTTCTGTTTAGCGCCTCGTGCGCTACCTTGGCGAGTCTTGGTCACTCGCCCTCGAGATGTTTTAGTGCCACTGGAGTTGCCTTTACCACTGCCTCGCTTATCATGCGGTGCTGGAGTTGGGGTGGGCATTTGTGGCTCCCAGTCGTCTTCTTCGTCGAGATTGAAAGCGTGAGGAGCAGAACGCATATACCTGGGAATATCACCGCCACGAGCTCGACCATTATTGGCTACTGGCAGACTGTTTGAGAGTCCGTAATGTCCTTGTAATCCTATGTCTGCTTGAGTGAATGGCAGTGGCAGCTGTCCAGGTGAAGTGTACGCACACTCACTGGCAGTATACCCAAAGTCAGTTCTCAGCGGCCAGGCGCTATCTGGCTGGGTTTGCTCTTGGCCAGACCTCAAGGTATAGTTGATAGGATATCCTGGTGGAGCCCGATAGCCCTCGCCTGAAACATGCTGAGTATTTTGGACGTTTTCCGCTGGTTGCTGGGTCGCAGATGTCCAGCCCAGAGCATCAAGTGAGTAAGCCGAGCCATTTTGCGTGAATCGAGTGGGCAGATTGGTTGCATGATCAATAGGCTGGTTGGCCCTCGACGCTGATTGTGATCCAGATGTTGTCGAAGATGTCTGCTGAGATCTGGGAAACCCATTACCATAGTCAACCCAGAAGACTGGTCGGGTACGCGCATCAGCCAGTATCTCAGCCATCGGAGGAGCCGCTGAATGCAGTTCTGGCAGCGGTTCCGCGCCTTCTGCTCCACGAGCGAATTGCTCTTCGGCGTAGAGCAGAGCATCGCGAGGAATCCATTGCGCCCCGCCGTCGTATGGGTTGTCTGGCAAACGGACGGCGAGGTCCGCTGGGAAGTCTAAGGCATGGCCGACAAGGGGATGGCTGAGGGATGGGTGTTGTGCTGGGGTGAATCTAATGCTGAAGGCGATGGATGGATGATGCCAGAGCTTCAGGTCTTCTTCAACCCTCTTGGAATGTTCTTCTGCCATGGCACTGTGGAACTGTTAGTCGCTACTCATGCTTAGCAGTGCTACAAACTTGCTGTGTAGGCAGTATGTATGCGAAGCTTGGTCTATGGTCTCGGTCGATGCAAAGGATGTTATGGAAGAATTAGAAGCTGATGCGTCTTGAAATAATATTCGAACTTGGAAGGCAAGACGCACAGACTCAGTTGTCTCAATGCCGTCCCACTTTTCTGTTACAGCGGCGCCAAGAATTGGCTTGTGACAATAGGAGTGCTTCACTGAAGTGTCTATTAAAGTCCACGGACCCATTCATGTTCACTTCGAAGCACCTGACAGGTCTGTCATGTGCATTTTAAATCGCGTGAAAGCAGTGATTCACTCCATGTCGGAAGGAACGCTCCGCGCTCTTGTTGTCCAGTTGCTTGGCCACCCAAGGGATGTCGATGTCTTCCAAGATACTTAGTTGTATTCACGCATGACATCAACACCATACAGCTGCTTTGAATGGTCGGTATAATATACTGGGAGATGTATATACAGAGGTGATTGTTGTAAAAAGCGACGCCGCTTCTAACCCTAAGTTAGAAGTAGCTTATACAACTCTATCGTACAACAGTGATAGCTTCCTTGCTTTCCTGCAATTGTGTGACGAAGATGCGGCAGAAGAGATACAGCGTCGACGTGCGCTTGCACTATTGCCTCTAGACAACGTCCATGGACCATCATTGGTGTATTTGGTTTTAATATGATGGATTGTGCAACGTCCTGTGGTTTGTTAATGGTGATTTGCTTCGTGGTGCAAAAGCTCCCAAAGGGAGCATTCTTGCGCGCTTTCACAATGGCTCTTTGACGATGTATAACAAACCGTGTTTCAAAGGCTCGTCGCTTTGTCTAGTAGACTAAGACGGCAACAACTGTTCCGCCGTCCCGAGTTGTAGATGCAGTATGGGACAAGACTGTATCACGGTCGTCCAAGCAAAAGCAAACTTTTGCTGTATACATCTTCTTCCCTTCAGCACACTTATTTCGGATGAACCATCCCCTGGCGGTAATTACTTCTCCTCTTCTTATAGCACTGTCACCAGGTGCTTCGATCATTACCTGTACCACAGCAAGAGCCAATATGTCACTTCTCGCGGTTGTCAGAAGCCATTGCTTGGCATCGCTCTAGCCAGATCGGGAAGCCGTCAAGCGAGACTGCGGGTCTACTATGACTCGACTTCAGCTCCCCGAGCAGCGACTTGCTGAGACAATTCCAAGCGGTGAGCCTGAATAGCTGGCATTTACTCAAATCCACTAATCTTGTGCTATTCAGACAATCTTAATTATGCGCTGACATATGCAGCGGCCCATCTCTTCACTCAATTATGCGCTAGTTGCTAAGCCAACAATCGAAGTTAAGCGCTATATACCCAGTGAACCGGCGTATACTCACTCATTTCGTCACATGCATGAATGCTGTGGAGACTGCCCTGCGTCAATGAGCTTCGAGGGTCTTCGTCACAGCCCTATATAACGGCAAGGACTCCCACTTCGAAGTAGAATTTCTCTTCATCAACACTCCGAAAACAACAACCTACACAGGTCCTCTCAAATTCCCATGAGTCTAAACATGTCTCAGTCCTTTCAAGTCCGATTCATCAGCCTCAATGTGGTCAAGACCAGGCCAGTCGATCCATCGATCAGACACATGCCGGCGGATCTCGCTCATCTGGCTATCGGCCCACCTGAGCAGATGGTTCGTCTGCAAGACCACTCGAACCGCGACGCACTCTGGATTTCTGGTGACGCTTTTCGATATTATCACACCATGCTATCCGATCAGACTTGGGCGCTACCTCTGCATGCCTCAGCACCGCCACAGCAACAAATCATGCACAACTCTGCAGAACCGAACTACATGAATATCTTCTTCCCAGGCACTCCCACTGTTGACGAACCTTTTGGAATCGGTCCTGATGTTACGGCTGGTACTACTAGCCAGGCTACCCAACCCACTACAAACCAGAGTGCGAAGTCTTTGCAGATGTCCGACTCACGCCCGCCTGAGGGGATGAGATCAGATCCACGCTGGCAGCAGACTGTTGACGCACTGGCTCGAGAGGATTCCCTACAGCAAGCTTTGTATCAGACTCAACAGCAGGCCATGCAGCAGACTCTGCATCGAACTCAGCAACAGCAGGCTCAGCAAGGCTTCGTGGGTCCATACGGAAATTTCATCACTGGGCCGCCTCCAAATGCTCAGAGTGGCACAGCCTTCCCAGAGCGCGATGAACATTTCATGCATGGACCTCATGTTCTCCAGAGCGGAGGCGATCAGGGCGAGCAGCGACGATTCTCTCGCACAGGAAGCAGGAGTCTTCTAACTCGGACGTATCGGAACGGTCCAACTCGCCGATTCCCAGCCACATCATCCATTGGCAATTTCGACACAGAGAGCGAGCTGAGTGAAGATGGACCCAACTTCACTCCCGCATCTCGTCGTGGCAGTATGCAGTCACGTGGACGCACCAGCAGATTTCGCGGAGCAGTTTCAAGAAGCTCTCGTGTTACCAATGCAGGTGGACGGCGCCGAATTTGTGCCCTTACAGGACTCTCACAGCGCCAACTCTTCCACATGGAGCGCATGGAAGCGCTCGCCAATGGCACCGCGCTGCAGACTGCTGCAGGTCCCCAGGCCGTGCTTGACAGGGAGGCTCCAATCGTTCCGAATGGCCCAGTACCAGAGTGTCAGGATCTGGCTGATGAGTTGAAACGTAACTTCGGAGGCGAGGGCGGATCATTGGCAAATCGTGGGACTTTCATGTCGGATAAGGCCGCGAGAGCACGAGCCAACCGATTGAATGCAGTGGGATGGATCAGCACCGAGGAGAGTAAGGATGGTGAGGATGGTGAGGGTGGTGAGGAGAGCGAGGATCCCGGCGAGCCAGGCGAGCCAGAAGATTAAGCTGTGGTGAAGAAGGGAGAACCCTCAGGCTAGACGATGAAGCATGATTTATGGACATACCTGAAACTGTATTAATGCGTATACGCTATGATTTCTCAAGTCTTGAATTCATTGCGAAGTACTGACCGCAAGGAAGCTGTAGAACCATCTCGCTCAGCACGGCTGGGTGGAGAAGACTGCGAACGAGTTTCGCTATAAGGGTCTGCGAGTCGGGCATCCTAGCTCGGCTCGGCTACGAGGACGGAGTTGATGCCTCCTTTGCTTCGGTCGTGATCATTAGGAGGTTTGTGCCCAGGGGACATGAAGCAGATGTGGAGAGTCCTCGCGCGACAAGGCTGGGTGGAGAAGAGTGAATACGTTTTGGTCCGCGGCGGATTCGTTTCTAGAATTAGAAAGTGTTAGGCCGTCAGCACCAGCACATGCCAGCGATGTCATGTGCGATCCACTTCTCGAAGCTGGACTGAGACATTCCAAACCTCGCCCCCACGCCAGTAAAGATAAAACTGCTCACGACTTTATGAAACCCTTTCCCGCGTCCAAGAAAACAAGTTGCCCGTCATCACCTGCGCCGTCACGATGGCCGCCCTTCAGCAGCCACCATCTTTCAAGGATCTCCTCTACAGCCTGCCGCAAGAATTATTCGACAGAGTGTACGAAGGAGTCTTGTCTGAGCCGCCAAGGCAAGTCGTACTCATCAACAAGGACTATAAGCCGCCGTCGCTCTTACAAGTTGATCGCGCCACGAGAGCACAGTTCGCCAAGTCCTATTACGCCAATTCGATCTTCGTTCTAGACGGCCGGACTCCGTACAAGTTCATCGACGTGCTCCCCCTACCTCACGTCAAGCACATGAGACACGTCCACGCTGTGGACTCGGTACAACTCTCCCTCAGGGTAGGCGGTCAAAGACCGGAGTCGTTTTATCAGTGGAGATGGTTCTGGTTTCGTCCGCTAAGGCTTCACTGCCATCGGCCCGGAGTACGTACACAATTTCGATCTTGGCGTTAGCATATCCAAAATACTGATGAGTGCACAGATGTGGAATTGGCTGGCGCGCGAAGGATTGGCGGAGAAGAACGACAGCGGCATCTTCTATGCAGGCGTGAGGGTCGCTTCGATTTCGAAGCGAACGCGAAGGTGCTGTCGAGCGACGCCTGAGGAATCGCTGTATAGTGCCGAAGATGACGAAACGATCGAGGCTAGGTTTTCAGAATTCGTGAGGATGAGAGAGATGACGATGATCCAGAGAAGTCAAGGCGGCGGGCAATAGCCATCAACACTTTCATTGAGATCATACGCACGTATACCATGCCAAATGCCATCTCATCATGCAAATTGCAACAACACCACTCCATTTCATGCCTTAGAAAGTCGGAATGCCATTCGTCTCGCCTTGCTCAGCCGCAAGTCTTTCTTCTTCCTTCTTCGCTCTCGCAGCTTCTGTCTCCCTTCGCAGAGCTTCGAGGTTGAACAAGCCATCATCGTCTTCGTCTTCGCTGTCGCTGGCCTCCCAGTCACCCTTTTCGAACAGCGCACGACCGGTATCCTCCTTCATCTTGGCCATTTCTTGCTCGGCAGCCTTCTTGTCCATTCTCTCCTTCTTCCACTTGGCGAAGGTCTCGGGCGTGACGGGGGTGAGTGCTCCGGTAAGCTTCAGACGTTGTGACTCTAAAAAGTCTTCCAAAGTAAGAGTGGCCATAGGAGACTTGTCCATTAAAGCCTTCTCCGCAGCACGTTGCTCCTTGGTCTTGAGCACGAATCCTGGGGGGAGCGAGTGCTTGTACATACATTTGTCCCCACCGTTGGGACAAGTCCAGAACCAACCATATTTCTGATTCTCGACCGCTTCAATGAAGAATTTGCAGACTTTGTCGGTCGTGGTCTTCGGGTTTCCGTGCTTGGAAAGCACGACCTGTCGCAGCTTCTCCTCATCCCAATCCTCCATGCCATCCTTCTGCTTCTTCTCGTCTTCCTCGTCGCGCGTGTCTTGATACAGGTTCTTCTTCTCCTGCTTCCGCTCTACGTCAAGATCGTGCGAAAACTTGCATTTCTTGCCCTTCTCGCATGCGCCCTTCTTGAAGAATTGGCAGAGAACCGTCTTGGGATCAACACCGAACGGCACTTTCTGCGTCTGCACTGGCTTGAACAGTTCTGCCGCTTCCTTTCGTGCTTGCTCTGCTGCCGCCTTCTCTTTCTCTCGCTGTAGCTTCGCAGCTTCCTTTTTCTTTTCTTCAGCAGTACCTCCTGCCGCTGCCGAAGAGGCGATTTGCTTGATCTGTTTCTGGGCGGCTCCACCTTTTTTATTTTTCATTCCAAACGTCTTGTCCTCGACAGTGGGCTTCTTCTTCTTCGGCTCCGGTTGCTTTCCTTTGGGCGGCATGCTGGGCAGTGGTCGGCAATATCCTCGGTGGAATGGATTCTTCGCTCAGCCTTCGTGGGCGGAGGAGAAATATGGTCGTTCAGGCTGCTGGCGAGGGAAAGCTCTCCATGTGGCAAACGAGTCTCACGTCGGCAGCCACGGGTGCTCGTTCGAGAGTGAGTAAGGAAGCAGACTTCTTCACGCTTCAGCTCGTGAGTCGTGGCGGCGCGGCGCTTTTGCTGAGTGAACTCGAAGTGTTCGAAAAGCGACACCGCGAATGACGTCCACTGGTGGCAGCGGAAAGATCCGACCCGGCCGAGCCTTGCCCTCCCTCCCCTCGTCGCGTGTCTCCTACTTTCACAACTCCCCACCAACATGAACACCTTCTCCGTCATTCTGGTGCTCTTGATATCCTTCGCCATTTTCGTGCTGGCCCTCTTCGCACTGTCATCGTGTCTTGGAGACGAGATTCTGGCAGCTTGGCGGGGCAGACGGAGCAGGACTGTGCCAACCACTTACGGACTCCAATACGCTCAATTCATGGGACAAGGCGGGCATGCGGGATACTCTGAACACATTGAGATGGAGAACATGTTGAATCGCTGGAACAGCAATGATGGAAATGATTGATCGGACACGGGATTTCTCGAAGCCCTGGGTGTTTTCTGATATTTCTGGACATTCCGGCGCACAATGTGTTCGTGAGATGGATCTACAACCAAGCGCTGTACGGACCGTATCTCTTGGATCATACATCGATGCTCCGCGTGCCACCAGTCCGAGCTAGCAGCGGACGGCTGGCTCGTCCACGTCATACAATACGAATACGCCAGAGCCGAAGTATGACTTTGCGAACAATTCCCGAGATGCCTTCGAGACGTAAAGCAGTGCTGGAAAAGGGATGGTAGTGGCGATAGACTTGGTGTTAGGATGTCCTGTTGTTGCAAATATCTGGATTCCTGGCGATGCGATAAAAGTCCATTGGAAGATTTCGTCGAACAATTTCTGGGGCAAGCTTTAGGCGCGCTTGCGAGATTGTCTAACACCGTCGGAGGCCATCATTACGATTTGCGCTCCAAGAGCATGCAATGATAAGATACGAAGAGAGACAGCAACGATGCACATCCTTGGAAATTGAAACTGACCTGGGAAGCTCCTCTTAGCCCTAGGCTTCTGGAATCCACGCCTCAGAACCATCAATTCTCATCAATTCTGGCATGACTCTTATGCCTGCTGCCTGTGCCATGCGAGCACTCTAAGGAACAGTTCGTCGCTCCATTCGATATGCGCCGTCTTGCAGGTAATCTTCAAGTCACCATTCCTGCTTGATGACCCGCTTCCATCTTCAACCAAAACAGGTCTTGCGCCAAGCAGCTCTTTGGCTTGACGCATCCCTCTTCAAATATACATGGAAAGCAGCCTCTCGTCCAGGCCATATAACACATCGGGAAGTCGAACGTAGTCCGGCTTCTACAGTCCCAGTATATCCACAAGCTTCTTGACCGGAACTCCAAGCTTGGTGGCAATCTGTACCACATCAGCAATCAATAGCACAGAATTTTCTTGGGAGTGCTTACCACATCGACAACTCCGATTTCCAACCCCAAATGTTCGCTGCAGTCCTGTAAATAACGCTCCTGTATACGCCGAGCGCGAGCAGCATGCTTCGCCGAATGCTTTCTCGTCACGACACAGATTTCCGCTAGAAGTAATCTATGATCGGGCGGAAGTGTTTCAGCCCATTTCGGCACTAGCTCTCGGCCGTGAACGGCGACGAATGCGCCTTGACTATAGTACGACTTTGCGAATTGCGCGCGGGTACTGCGACTGACGTGGAGAAGAGCTGGGAATACGGCGACGTTCGAGTGAACACATTCCTTGCGCCACCAGACGGTGCCACTGGAGGACTTGTATAGAACTCTTTTTTGGGTTGCTGTGTTGAGCTTGCGGATGCCGGTGTCGGCGGTGAAGGTCTGCTCGAAGATTTCGTCGTAGAGCTCTTGGGGAAGTGTCTGCAGGAGGTCGCGTAGTGATCGCGGGGCGCGTGTAGTCATGGTGGCTGGTGTCGATGACCGACGAAGACTCAAGTGTGGTTTACGAAAGATGCGACGCTGGATTGCGAGGAGTCGTCTCGAGCACGCTTGTGGTGGCGCACGGACCTTTTCAGGGCACGGCACGAGATTCTCCCCAGATCACATGACTTCACATGCAAGCACCTCTCGAGTCGTGCAAATCTGGTTAAGAGTGGTTTTTATTTCCCACCACTGAGACGCTGCCAGCATGCCCGTTGGGAGATTGACAGGGAAAATCATGCTATACATTCATTGGACCAGCATTCACCACTGGGATGATGATGGACGGCGAGCTGTGGCCTGAGAAGACCGATGAGCTGGAGGAGATTGTTTTGGTATGACGCCGCGCTTTCCTTTCGTCTCAAGGGCTAGAGCTGGAACTGTGGGCACAGTAGCGGGGCTAGCTAGAGAGCACAATTTGCGGCGGAATACATTGAAGCTACGTGATTCAGCATGAGGACGCTACGCAGGTCTGTCTCCACGTAGACCGTTGCTGATCAAGTGGTCGTCGTCGTGGTGTGGATGAGTGTGAGTCCCATCAACATGTTGATTTCAGCCCCCAATATCAATTTCCCAGAGCCTCTCAGCTTCGGGGATTTCCGCGCCACACGCCTACATCGGGCTAAGCATGAGTCTGAGGCCTGATTTTCGCGATCCTCCATTTCCATGTTTTATCGCAGGTCCGATTCTCTCGCAAAGGTGTGGAAAGGGGAAAAGCGTACCGGTGTGGCTGTGCATTTCGTCGCTGCAGGGATCAATTAAGCTTCCGGACAAGCTGCAAGATGACAAGACTGCCAAGTTTCAGGCAGGCTTGTCCAAGTCGTGTTTATTGAGTGCGTCGGAGGCGTAGCGTAACAGAAGAAAACGGCATGCATCGACTTGAAAGCTGATACGGGGCCGGGCCGGGCCTGTGTACGCGTGTTTTTGCGCCTCTGCCTTCGCCTCACACAAGGACAATGTAGACAATGTATCGCCACTGCTACTGGTAAGGTGAGATGGTGGTGGTGCCAAGGACGGAGTGGGGTGGGGTGGGGGTGGGCTTTGTCGCCAGCAAGCTTCTTCGCCAACTTTGCTCCTGTAGCTTCTTTTGCACTACACCGATCATCGTTTTCACGTCAGGCGTGCCTCTCTAGCCGTGTCGGGCGATCTGCGGTCTGCACAAAGCAGGAATCGAAGCGATGCGATGCGCTGGAGGATTGCCCATGACATGACGGCGCCAAGCTTGAGATGTTCATGCTAAGTAATGCCCTGTGGCTACAGTATGCCTCGTCCTGCACCGCCTCAGATCTGCACGGCCCGGAAACGTGGACGATTGGGTTCGCGAGATTGCAGTCCGCGCCACGGCCACGCCTCTGAGTCTCTGCGAACCACCGCGAAGTCACACCGCACCCGTTAAAAGGAGTTGTGCTGGCCGCCGCCGACGTCCTGCCACCTGCGCTTGCCTTCACAACACATCCCGAATTCACTACATCCTCAGCGTCCATTTCTTTCTACTGATATCGACCCTCCTCGGACCTCCGGACATCGATCCTTCGTCGTGGCGCAGTCAGGCACACCAGCAGCATCCCTCCCGTGACCTCCACTTTCCTGCCACTGCGAGAACGAAGCCGTCATGCGTGAGTTATACCCCGAGACGCCGCCTCGGACGCGCTCTTCGCGACATGCTGCTAACGGGAGCATGGCGCACAGACAGCATCAAACGCGCCGCCAGACGCCAGGCTGTGGGTCGAACGTCAAAACAGAACATCCCCGACACACCGCTGACCATTGCTAGTGGTACGACAACTTGCAAGAAGCCGACCGAGTGCACACTTTCAACCCATTCGGTCGATTCAACCCGAAAGTCCGCCATGGAGCTGGTCCTGAAGCAGACCCGGAGAAACAATTGAACTTGCGCCACGTGCAAAGCGAGCCAGATCCATCCCCCGTCGACAACAAGAACTCCATCGACGCCACTCTTCAACAACCACACCCCGCTCACCACGCCACCTTCCCGACAGGCCCAGAATGGGATCCTTCACCTGGCAAGAGCAAAGGCATAGAGGAGTTCGAACAGAACCAGAGTAGTAACCAGACCGAGAAGAATGCCCCGGACAGCATAGGAGCCGAATCATCGCGAGAGCTATCGAGAGAAGCGAACGAAGATGGCAAGCCACGAAAACGGAAACGAGCATTCTTCGCACTGGGCAAGAAGGAGGGCGACGATAGCCATGACTTCCACCACACCGACACCGAGAAGTCGAAGGAGAAGAAGGAGAAACACCCGAAAATCCCCTTCATGAGCCAGTTCAAGGCCGTCTTCTTCAGCTGGATCAACATTCTGCTCATCGCTGTGCCAGTCGGGATTGCCATCGAATATGCCCACGTCAACAAGATCGCCGTCTTCGTCGTCAACTTCATTGCCATCATCCCCCTGGCAGCCATGCTGTCTTATTCGACCGAAGAGCTCGCCATGTATATTGGCGAAGTGCTTGGCGGACTTCTCAACGCCACCTTCGGAAACGCTGTCGAGCTGATTGTCAGCGTCATCGCCCTGACGCAGGGAAAGGTTCTCATTGTGCAAACTTCGCTCATCGGATCTATGCTCTCCAATTTGCTTCTGGTCTTGGGAATGTGCTTCTTCTGTGGTGGCGTCAACAGAAAAGAACAGCACTTCAACATCACCGTCGCGCAAACCGCTGCATCGTTATTGGCCCTCGCCATCGGGAGCTTGATCATCCCGACCGCTTTCCAGATCTTCGCCAACGTCGACAATGGCGTTGTCCCAACCTCGCGAGGAACTTCTGTTCTGCTCCTGCTGGTATACGCCTGCTACCTGTTCTTCCAGCTACGCACCCACACCGACATGTACAACGAGCCCAGCCAGAAGACGCCAAAGCGATCATCTGGCAAGAAAGACGCAGGCGAGGCAATGAAGGGTATCGCCATGATCGGTGCTGCAAGTGGTGCTGCGCCCGCTGGTGGACGTGTCAACCAGGAAAATCTAGTGCACGAGCAGGAAGAAGAGGAGGAGACGCCCAATCTCTCCATCACTGGTGCTCTCGTCACACTGGCCATCTCGACCGTCTTCATTGCTCTATGTGCCGAATACATGGTCAGCGCAATCAACGATGTCGCAAAAAGCGTCTCCCCCGAATTCATCGGTCTGATTCTCCTCCCGATCGTGGGAAACGCAGCAGAGCACGCCACCGCGGTCACGGTCGCTATCAAGGACAAGATGGACCTGTCGATTGGTGTTGCCGTTGGTTCTTCGCTGCAGATTGCATTGCTCGTCCTCCCGCTCATGGTCCTTTTCAGCTGGTTCGGAATTGGCAAGCCCAACGTGCTCAGCCTTGATTTTGATGGATTCTTGGTTGTCATCCTGGTGCTCAGCATCTGGCTCGGTAAGCTTTTCGCTCCACCTCGAGTCCCAACTCCGCTAACGAATTCCAGTCAATTACCTCATCAACGACGGCAAGTCACATTGGCTGGAAGGCGTTCTCCTTATGATTACATACCTCATCATCGCCATCGCCGCCTGGTTCTACCCAGCCAAGGGCGATGTGGCCGGTTAAGCGAAACGACACTCCCTCGCGATTTCCTGTAATTTATCGGCGCCGAGAATGCACGGCATACGACCTCATCTTAATCCCGTACTCTTCAGAACAAACACTGCGACAGAAAGAGCTATCCAGAGAAGCAGCGGCGCGGAGTTCGATTGGAACTTTCTTGGCAGTCTTTTTTAGATACCCCGAATGCAAATGAGTATTGATGGTTTAGGGCCTTTTCAGCTCATCTCACTATAAACGCTTACATGACTGCCTCCTCGACTTGAGAATTTCGCTGGAAGACCTGCCCGTTCTATCAACGCCGAATCGTCGACGAGCGTTTACGCTAATCGTGAAAGACGAACCGATATCCTGTGTGCTTCGCCGCCCCGGGTCCGAGGACACAGTCCCGGTTGTCGGCCAGTGTGCGTGACCTGACATGAGACACGGAGCTGCTGTCGACAACGAAACGCTACAGATATGTGAATAGCGTGTGAGCTCACTCGCTCTGCCTCACGCCAAGGCCTTCTCGCGTGCAATGCTGGCTTTCGATCACAGTGCGCGGTTTGACACCTCGGCACGGAGCTGACGGGACAGATGGAACGCTAGAGATATGTGAACAGCGTGTGAGCTCACTCGCTCTGCTCGAGGTCTCTAGTGCACCGGGCTTTCGATCGGGGTGCGTGGCCTAGCTAGCATACGACAGAGCTGCTGGGTACAGATGGAACACTCTGGCATCACTTTCCATATCAGATTGGACCGTGCATACCCCTCAGTTGCACATGCTTTCTCGCCTCATCACCGGCGCTCCTGCCCTCACATGCGCGCATTGCGGCTCACTGGCCACGCCGCACATGACTATATCAGACCACCTCAACTTCCATTCTTCCACACCCTCAACACGACAACACACAACAAGCAACACCAACCATCCTTCAGCCCCTTCAAGCTGCTTATTCAACACTACCATCACCACCTTCACAACACATCACTGACCAATCAGCGGCCAGAATCACCCATTTTTAGCACGACCCATCACTTTTCACAAACCCATACCCATACCAATCCTTCCCTTTTTCACGACTCTGCACAATGGACGGAACCTCTCCACAGCAGCGCGCGTCCGCTGAGCACGATATCCCAATGGACGACTTTCAGCGGCCGAGCGAGGACCCTGAGTCTTTCGATCCCTTTGCCAACTACGACAACTCTGCCATGCCGGACCCTCCGCCACTCACTCCGACAGACGGGGGCCAAGATCCTCAGAGCGAGGCTGGAGACGAGGTTGTGATTGCTACGACGGAAGGGCCAGATGGCATGCAACTCCACGACGCTCCAGAAGAGGCCACCAAGCAGGAGCAGGTCATGCCTCCAGCAAAGTCCAACACACCTCCTGAGAAGCCAAGAAGCCTCAATCTTGGCGTTCCAATGCTCAAGGGCTTGGATAACAAGACCAAAGTGCTCGAGCGGCAGCAGAAGCTCATAGATTGCTTCCGCCAGAAACAGTCAGCTGTGGTGCCACGAGCTGCTCCGGAGCGCTCGAGTCGCCATGATAGCATGGAGCTAGACACGAGCGCTACTCAAACTCCTTCTACGCCTATGCCTCCGCCAGCCATGCCTCAGACTTCTGATTCAGCTGCCGAGGAATTCAAGAAGCACAAAGAGCGATACTTCCGCAGAAGAGCGGCAAAGCTTACGGATGTTGAGGAGGAGATCGAGTACATCCAAGCAGAGTCTCGAGAAGCGTCCAGACTACGCAAGAAAGAGGCTGACGAAGCGTTGGCTCTGGGTCTTTTCGACGATGATGAGGACACCGAGGACAATCAAAGCAGCGACCTTTTTGTGTCCGGTGCGATGAGTCCAGCTCACTCGAGCCAGCCTTACAGTAGTCTGTATTCTGATGATCACGATGACGATTCAGCTCCGCGTCGTCGCAAGGACAAAGGCAAGCGGAAGCTTGGCGGGCTCTTCAACGGCGAAGATGACGAAGAGTCACTCCGCTCTCGAAAGTCAAAGGCTCGCAAGAAGTCTAAGCACGGCAAGCGTGGTAGCGACTATACTGATCAGGATGTCGAGGATCTTTTGCAGAAGGCTCAGCGAAAGAGCAAGCTAGGTGGCAAGAAGAAGGACAGCCGCTCAAAGAAGGGTAGCCGTGCTATGGCCAACCTGACTTCAATCTACGGCACGAATGTTTTCAAGGACACTCAACAAAATGCCGAGAAGCCAGACCAACCAACCTTCAACAAACGCCGCAAGGATGATGCCCTGAAGCAATTGATCGCATCGGTACCTTCAGAGAACCGCAAGATCGCCTCGGCAGACAAGAAGTACCTGCATGAATCGACCAAGGCCTTCACTGGCCAGGGCGCTTGCTTTCCTAGCCAGGATGGCAACTGGCATCTCAAAGGCTTGAAATCCACCCTTAAGCATTATCAGGTCCTCGGTGCTGCCTTTATGCGTAAGCGTGAGGGCGAGGTGACCGAGCCCAGAGGTGGCATCCTTGCAGACGAGATGGGTCTCGGCAAGACGGTCATGATGCTTGCGAATGTCGTTAACGGCAGAAATCCGTCTCCGACAGGCCCTGTATGCACCTTGATTGTTGCCAGTCCAGCTCTGTGTACGCAATGGGATGCAGAGATCGCAAAGCATTGCTGGACGGGCAAAGATGCCCACCGACACGGTATCAGAAACTGGGTGCAGCATCGCGCAGGTAACCGGATTGGTGGAAACGAGGAGCGCATCATTCAGACGATTCAGGAGGCTGACATCTGCCTGACCACCTACCACGAGATCGGCAAGAGCTATCCCAAGGCACCAGTTCCTGTGGAATTGACAACGGCTGAGCAGAAGGACGCCTGGTGGAAAGACTTCCTGCAAAACAACAAGGGCCTCTTTCACAAGATCAAGTTTCATCGTGTCGTGCTGGACGAGGCTCAGGCGATCAAAAACCATACTGGGCATACAAGCCTTGCCTGCCGTGCTGTCATGGCAACTCATCACTGGGCTATCTCTGGCACGCCCATCATGAATCGCTTGTCAGAATTCTACCCTTACTTCAAGTTCTTGCGCGAGCCTCACACGGGTTCCTTCAAGATCTTCAAGGAGAACTTTTGCTGCCCGGACGATCCAGACGGTACTGGAAAATTGGCCGTCTTCCTTCGAAAGATAATGATTCGACGAACCCACTTGGTACGTTTTCAGACGTTTAGACTCGCGTCTCGACAATGGAGTGCTGACTTTTACAGGACACTCTTTTTGGCGCTCGACTTCTCGATCTGCCACAACCGAAGCAGAGTGTTGTCTGGCTCAGCTTCAACGAGACCGAGCGTGCGATCTATGAGATCGTCAAGAACCGCTTCGTGCAGCGCATCAACACCATTTCGAAGAATGAGGGCAATGTTGGACTTTCCAACCACTACAACCACATCTGTAAGAGCACGACATTGCAGGTGATTTTGAGGATGTTTACTGACCTCACCTACAGGGACCATGCTTCTGCGCCTTCGACAGCTCTGCGCTCATATACTCCTTGTCCAGGGCACAGTAAGTCGCTCGAACCGCGGAGCTGAACTCAGCTAACCATTGCTTAGATCTGCGACTTGCTCCAGCGCGAGGACTTCGAGAAGCTCAACAAGCTTTCTCAGTATACAAGCCACTCTGACGATGGTGCCAATATCCTGATCCATCTCCGCAACGTGCTTCAACAGTCTCTCGACCAGGAGAACGTAGAAGCCGGCGCTGCGGGCACTGCTCGAGTCATCAGTGCTTACGAGACCGCCCCAATCAACGCCAAGGACTACATGAACCACGAGGAATTAAACGATGCTGGCGGCAAACACGGTCAAAGCTACAACTTCGGCAAGTACATGACAGCTTTAGCCAAGAGCGACCGTTTTGAAGACATCATGGACCGCTCGACATGCTGCGCTTGTCGTCAAGACCCGGACAACCCACACGTCACGTCATGCTTCCACATCTACTGTCTCCAATGCCTCTACGACCTCCAACACCACGCCGCCAACCGCGGCCGCGACTGCGCAACATGCTCCGAATGCGGCTCCGAATACACCTCCGTCGAGCCCTGCAAAATCAGCCCCCCGGAAACCCCCCAATCCTCCACCATGCACACCCCTTCCTTCGACGACGAAACCGCGACCGGCAAAAAGAAACGCAAGCAAGAAGAAGCCGACTGGATCGGCCTGAAAGGCGAAATCCTCCCCTCGACAAAAACCATGGCCGTCAAAGCCCAGATCTTAAACTGGATCACCGAAAACCCGCGCGTGAAAATCATCGTCTACACGCAATTCATGCCGGTCGTCCGCATCCTCTCCAAAATCTGCCGAACCGAAGGCTGGGGCTCCGTCACCTACACGGGCTCCATGTCCCACGAATCCCGCAACGCGGCCATCTCCACCTTCTCACACGGCGACTGCAACATCATGCTCGCATCCCTCCGCTGCGGCGGGCTGGGGTTAAACCTCACCATGGCCTCCCGCGTCATCCTCATCGACCCCTGGTGGAACTCGGCGATCGAGCAACAAGCCTTCTGCCGCGTCTTCCGCATCGGGCAGGAATTCGAAACGCGCATGACGCGGTTCGTCGTCGAGAATTCGATCGATTCGGCCATGATGGCCATGAAGGAACGCAAGGAAAGGGAAATCGATGAGGTGATGGAGAATCCTAGACTTCGGGAACACTTGAGTGTTGAGGAGTTGCTTGGGTTGTTTGGGGATGTTGGGAGGGGGGAGGGGGGGAGGGCGTTTGTTTTTGCGAAGGAGACGGAAGGAGATGGGGATGGGGAGAGGTTTTTGGAGGTTGAGGGGGAGGGGGAGGGAGGGATGGGGAATGAAGTTTGATTTTTAGTGAGGGGGGAGGGAGTTTGGTTTGGGGGTTGTGAGGGGAGATGGGATGGATATGTGTATTGTATGTAAAACTTTGGGGTTGAGATTTTTAGAGATGTATATGGTAGTCGTGACATACAAGAAGTAATCCCGGGACGGCGCAGTCTATCTCTACCTCTTCCTGAGAGAAGGCCTAAAAGCCCCCGAAGGATATGCACAGTTGTCGATCAGGCGTTGAGCAGAATGTAGATGATGTTCTTGCTCGGGAGGAAGTTCGGTGAAGTTCGGAGCCTTGGCGTTCACGGACCCTCAACTCCACCCTCAACATCGCTATCTCCACTCAGACTAGTAACAAAGGGTGTTCGTGCATGTGATATAGAATCACGTGTTCCGTAGCAGACTTTTCTAAACCCGCAAGTAAACTTTCCAACCCCTATACTAATTAAATAAACTCCCGTATAGACTATATAATACTCTTTATTACTAGTCTAATCCGTTTCTATCGGGTTTTAGTACGCGTATATAGATAATCGTAGTAGTAGGTAGATGCTATTAGCTACAATACTATTATATATCGGAAATCGCAAAATCCGCTATAGTAAAGCCCTACGCAGTTACGAAAACTATCTACCTCGAAAATCTAAAGAACTTAGGTCTACTACTCGCCGGGGAAAATCTATATATACGCGAAAATCGAATATCGCTTACTATATTAAAGCTAGACGCGTCTACTCTACTACGACCGTAGATCGATAAACTAACTCCGTAACGATCGAAATAATATCCGCGGCGGGTAAATATAATACCGCGAAGAAGCTCCTATAACTCTTATCTACCCCCGATGCTATCCCGTCTAGCGCTCGTAGTCCTTTTGCCTAATATTATCGGCTAGGTATCGCAGCTCCGAGTTAGTAAGAGATGCGTTTAGAATACCGTAATACTCGAGCCGGTTTTAACGCTACGAGTAGGGTAGGCTCTACGCGTTACGGGTTAGAGAAGGGCCGCGACTAGAGGGCAATTTGTGTAAGAAGGGTATGTTAGCAGGTAGATAGGGTGGTGGTAGGTATAAGTAGTATTCGATAAGGAGCTAGGAGGAGAGGGAGGAAGGTAGGAGAGTTAGCCTAACGCTAAGCGCTAAGCCCTGCCTAAGGCATTAAGACCCTAGCTTTACTCGGCCTAGTTATATACTATCACGTGTAACCTCTTTAGCCCTAATATACGCTTCCCTTCTAAAGGCCGCGCCCTCGTAGCCGGTCTTTGTCCTAGTCTTAACCTCTATTGCTACTAACTTAGCAGGTCTAATAAGCTGCTTAGCCCGCGCTAAATTGAACACTCAACCACCTAATTATGTAACTATGTTAAACCTTACCTCCAATAATATAATGTACAACTCTAACTGCGCTATCTCTATATACAATAAACTATAAAGTAATATATATCTATAAGAATCGAAGGCCTTCGACTAATTACGATACGAGCGCGTCTTCCCTACTATAATAGGTAGACGTACGAGGTATTGTAGCACTACCTCCGTTCTAAGTAATGTCGTATCGAGTTCTTTGCGTCTACTCTTAAAAGACCTAGCAATGTCCGCTTCCGAGGGTTGTCCGTTTCCGAGGGTTATTGTTCTTATTATTCGTAGTTTCGCTAGCCCTAATTAGCTAGGTTTGGCAGCCTTTAAGTGTTAATCTTATCTTATCTTTTCAAAAAACACAGCTCGTCTAGTTTCTATAGGTAAAGGCTATTATAAGTGTAGTAGTAGAGGTTCGCCTCGCTTAAAGGGTTAGATAGATCGAGGAGTAACCTATTGTCCGCAAGATCGACCCCGGCTAGCTTAGCTCTATAGTTTTGCCCTTAGTTAGTTAGTCTATTAGTCTACTTAACCTTTTAAGCGGCTTAAAGTTTTAACTCGGCCTTAAAGTTTTGATTAAACCTTTAACAGGCTTAAAGCTTTAATTAAAGTTTGATTAAAGGTGCCTTAGGCTCGTAGTGTAGGTAAGGTTGTGTCTATAGGCGCAGCGACAACAGTAAGTAATGTTAACAATAGCGACGCTAGTCGTCTTAGCGCTAACTTTACCTCGCTTCTAATCTCCTCCTTCTACTAATAATATACTCCGCAACACCGTTACTAATATAGCCGCGCCGGCCGTACTGTTACAAGCGCGACGCCGCCCTCGCCGATCGCCTAGGCCTCGAGGCCTCGATAGAATAAAGGAACAAAAGGGGGACCTATAGGGCGCGTTAGTAAAGAGGTAGAGTCCTTAAAAGAGTATACGATTGATTGATTAACGCGTCGTAGCGCGCCTAGCATAGTCTTATTGTCCTTTGTTACTAACAATTGCTTGTCTCTAATTAGTTAGCTAATAGTACCCCGGGGGTAGCATTAATCCTAGGCGACATTATAGGCCCTTAGCCTTCTTCTTGTTCTTCGCGCTAGTCTAATACTTATCTAACAACTCGGTTATATCCTCGAAGGAATCTTTAGCTTCCTATAAGTCCTATTCTAGTAAATAGCCTTGCTATTTTAGGAGGTACTCCTTCTTGCCTCGCCTAGTCCGATAATCTAGGATACGTTCTACAGACTACAGCTCTTTACTATCCGCCAGTATGTCTTCGTATTTAGTAGAGGCTTTATCCCCCTCGCGTAGGTAATATAGCTTAAGGAGGGATACATAGAAGGTATTATAGATAGTGTAATAAGGAGGAAGCTATAACTAATAGGCCTATGCGGAGGAGCCCTTAACTTCTCGAATACGGAATGGACTAATGTACCTTAGTGCCAGTTTAGGGCGTGTTTTACTATTAGGTAATAGGTGTTTACGGATACGGAGGTTCTTCGTACTAAGTATAACTATATCGCCTTGTTTGAAGGTTATTAGCGTATAGTGTTTGTTATAGTAGGCCTTCTAATAGGCCTAGGCCTTTGCTAGTTTGTCAGCTATTATAGCGTGAATTTCTCGCATCTTTTAAACCCTCTTAATAGCCGCTAGCGTCTTAGGTATTAGTACTTAACGCGCTTCCCTTTCCTTGCGCTCGGCCTCGAGCGAGGTGAATAGGTCTTATAGTAAGGCGGCGTTCTGGCCTATTATAGCTATATATAGTGAAACCTTAGTAGATGAGTGTACACTGTTATTATATACGAATTCTATAGGCTATAGGAGATTGACCTAGTTATTAGGGTTCTTATTAATATAGCTACGCAGGTACTACTGTAGCGTAGCATTCTGCCTTTCGGTTTAACTATCTATTTGTAGATAGAATGCTATAGACAGGCGATACTTGAGTCTTAGCTATAGGCAAATCTCACTCTAATAATAAGATGTAAATGTCGAGCCTCGGTTAGAGACTATCCCTTTAGGGGTCCCCTAATAGGTATAGAAGATGTTAGTCTATAGCGCCTCTGCTATATTAATAGCAGTCCAATCCTTGCGCGCCGGGATGTATCGAGCGCCCTTAGTAAATCGGTCTATAACGACTAGGATAGCGTTAAAGATGTCTTTGCTTCCTCTTCGCTTAGTAGGGGGAAGACCTATAATAAAATCTATTATAAGCTCTGCAAATGGCTTGTAAGGGATTAGTAATAAGGATAACTCGCTAAAAGGCTAATGCTTTAGTGCCTTAACTCGTTAATATACGGCATACGTGTTTACGTAGTCCTTTATATCCCGCTTACTATTTGGCTAGTAGTATATACGCGATAGTAGCTCGTGCGACCTCTCTATGCTATAGTAACCGGCAAGCTCACTATTATAGTGTCGCTTAAGAAGTTCTTATCGGATCGAATGTTTAGCGGGGATATAGTATCTGCCCTTGAACTTTAAATAACCTTTGTCATCGATCGACTAATTGTTACTCTTGCTAGATCGAGTCTTTCGCCTACTTACAAGCTTGTCTATACGTTTAGTAGCAAAGGCGTCCCTCTACTAAGCCCGTAACAGCTTATCTATAAACGATTGACTATCCCTATTTATAAGGTCATTTAATAGTACCCTCGCTATTAAACGAGGTACGTATTATATATATCTAATAGCACTAGTAGCCGGATTAACTGCATTAGTGCTTTAATCGCTGTTACTGTATATAGCGATATCGACTAGGGAGTTATTATAACTTCTCCTGTCTATGTCCTTAGCTCTTGCCTTAACACGTACTATTAATATAGTAAGAGCATTAATATACTTTAAGCCGTCGCGGAGTCCGGTAAGCCGCTTATCCTACGCTTGCTTATTAACAATACGGGCTATAGCAATCTTATACTGCAGGGTTAGAAACAAAGAATTGATGTATTAGGTTTCGCTATCGTAATTAGGTCGCCTCGATAGGCTATCGGTAGGGTTACTTACGCCTAGCCGGTATAATATATCAAAATCAAATCCGGCGAGGTAGACGGCCTATCTAGCCTATCGACCTATAACCCTAGTAACCTTAGTAATGCTACGGAGGTTGTTATAGTCTATATAGACCTAAATAGTGTACTAAGCACTATCGAGATAGTGGCGCTAGTGCTTAAAGGCCTCGATAATAGCTAGGAGCTCTTACTTATATGTCTCGTAGCGACGCTCTATATTAATTATCTTCCTCGAGAAGAAGGCAATCGGGTGCTAGTAATAGTTATTATCTGATTGCTAGGACATAATAGCCGATATAGCGAACTGTAAAGCGTTAGTCTCAATTCGGATCTACTTGTTTAGTACGAAATAGTGTAATAAGGGGACTTTAGTAAAGCGTCGCTTTAGACCGTTAAAAGCGGCTTGTGCTCTGTTAGTCTATTTGAATTCTCTAGTCGGGTTAGCCTTGGTTTTAGTAAGCTTAGTTAGTAGCATTACGTGCCGCGAGTAACCTTCGATAAATCGACGGTAGAAGTTAGCAAAACCTAGGAATAATTAAAGCTCTTTAATACTAGTAGGCGTCGGCCACTTAGTAATAGTCTTAATCCGATCGGGATTAGCCTTAATACCCTCGGTTAACACGAGGAAGCTAAGGAAGGACACCTCTTTAGTAGCAAAGGTGCATTT